CCGAATGGGGCTTCCTGGCCGCTTGTGGCTCTGTCATTTAAGTAGGCAAGAACAAGCTGGCTTGGTCAATACTGTTAAAATATCTTGGGCTTTGCATCTGATAATCTCCAGGTGACTGAAAAATGGGTCCCATGTCCTCATGATTTGCAGACATCCTCCCCTTTGCTAGGAGCAGCAACTTCCAAAGCCCACACACAGGACAGGAGACAATGTATGTACAAGGCCAACCTCCTGTCTCAAACATTTCCCTCTTCCTCCCTTCATTTCTTTTTCTTATTCCTCCATCACTCACTCTTGACTATATTCAAGGATGCCTATATACTGTGCCATGATCTGTGCCTGGCACTGGAAATGCAGGGAAAAAGAATTATTAATATAGAACATGTGGGAACTACAACCAAGACAGGCAAGAGGCTATGGTGGGAAGAACGGGGGTCTGGGAGTCAGGCTGACCTGAGTCTGCCTCCTGGTTCTACGGTGTACCAGGAAGTGACTGACAATCCGAGCTGCCATCCTCCATCTGTAAGATGCACAGTTAGGGGCAGTTATGGGGAATTACTGAGATCAAAGACATGAAACAACTCTAAGATGAACCAAGCCTCAGCTGTGGGAAGGCACTCAGGAGGCAGTGCATTTGGCTGCCTTGGTGGGAACCCTTGTTACCACTTCATCTAACTTTGTGACCCCTTTAAAACACTTTACCAGGCCCTCAAGAGATATCACTCACTGACCTGGGCCAGGTCATTCTTGGCACAAGCTGGCCTTTACAAACACCTTTCCCTCTTCTGGACGGGGGAGAAGCACAAAGCTCAAAGGTCTCGCCAGTCAGATGTGTTATCAAATTTTTCCAGTAGGAAAGAGGAACAAGTATCCACAGAGTTAAAACACAAGAAAGCTCTGAGCCAGGTGAAGGGCCTTCCTACCCTGTGGCAGAGGAGGAGTTGCTCATCTCTGCCTAGCAGGCCAAGGTTCGCCGCCCCCTCACATGGGTAGGTGGACCTGAGCTGCCCCGAGGGAGCTCCCCCTCAAGTTGCTCCCCGCAGACAGGGTCCTCCTCAGAAGAGATGAGGCTGCGGGTGAGGAACAGGGACAGACCATCACAGGGCTAATGGGCAGGCACTGTGCTGGGCTTGTTTAAGCCTCACTATAATCCTGCAGGCAGGGGATTACACTTTCATGTATGGAAAGGAAACTAAAGCTCAGAGAAGCAGAGGGACCCACTCAAAGTCACATTTGGTAGCAGAGCAGAAGAAGTAGCTCGAGTCTGTCAAGTTTTATGTTTTAAACACAGCACTACCGTGTGATGCTGCAATCCCAAGTCCCATGACTGCACTGCTGGCCTGGGATGGGAAGCCACCATACCAATGCCTGCATGGCAGGCAGCCTGGACACTCCACAAAGCAGTGAGGGTGGGGGAGCCCGCCAGAGGCCGTCTTTGCGCTTGGTCTCCTGCTGTTCTCAGCCTAGGGCTGCACTTGCCTTTGGGGCTCTGCCCTGCAATCACCACCCGCTTCTCCATCACTTTCATGGTCACAGGTCCTTTAACCTAGTAAATCTACAGCAAGAGATCTGCCTACAAATTCATTGAGACCATGTACTATAATTTATATAAAGACATTCACCACAGTGTGGTTTAAAATTGTGAAGTGCTACAACAAACAAAAAGACCGGCATTAGGATAATGTGGTGGGCCTGGACACCAATTTCAGATCACGAGAACTGATACAAACCTATGAGCGAGGCTCAGACTTGTATCTTGTGCAAAGCCTTGCCCTGTTCCCCACCCTCCCCGTGACTGTGATCCACAGCTGGGCTGAGAACCACATGAATCACCAGCTGGGACATATAGGCTCTTATCAATGATGTTTTAAGAAGAGATTTTATATCAAAAAGTGCTTATACATATTGAAAGGCAAAACCAAACTAATAATTGGGATACTAGAGTATCTCAGGAATATCTCAATTGCTGAAAAGAAAAATAAAAACATGAATTCCCCAAAGGCAATGGACCAAAAGCAAACCAAAGATCCTAGAGCAAGGTGTATGTGTGTGAGGGGGGAGTTAGTGAGGGGAAGCGTGAGAGTAGCATCTTACTGTCCTATTTGTGCTCTCAGGTACTTCAACCATTTTTACCAAGAACAGGTGCCATTTTAATAATCAGAGAAACAAATGACAGACAAGTAGCCCCAGGGTCAGGGTCTCTCTGCCCCCTCAGCACTGTCCTGCCTGCGAGGACCAGCTTCTTCCCAGCCTGGGCTGCACAGCCACAGGTCCCCCTCCTGTCTGAGGCTCACCTGAATTCCTGACACAAGTCTGTGCAGGAACACAAGTCTGTGTTGCTATCCTGTTTTTGGATAAGAATTTGCCAGAATTCAATTCATGGCTTAAAAACCATTTGACCAATGGCTCAATGCTTGGTTGGAAAATTTCAGGCCTTCTGCTTTCTCTCTTGGACTCTCAGAAGAAAGCCATTTTGACCACAGATGAATGGGACTCAGTACACAATAGATCTGCCATGTTTCATTGATTCTAAGATGGAAATCTCTGAAATCTGGATGTGCCTTGTAATTGATGATGTTTTTCAATTATAACCAGCAGTACTCTCTTCCCTTTCTTAGTGTTATCTACAACAATAATCTGTCTTACAACTGAATGGCAGCTTAGATTCAAGGAAAAGCGACATATCTACAATCAAATCCATGACTTTTGATGCTTTTAAAGGTGATGCAAGACTCTATTATATGGACATACTTTACATTACCTCACAGTTACCTAGCATAAACAATCTGTTCCAAGTTTTTCAACATTACAAATACTGCTACTGTGCATACCATAGCCTCATCCTTTCTCTTATATCTTGGGGAACATTCTGACATTTCTTGCCCTTCCTCCACCGTATGTTACCTATGGTTGGGCCTACTCCTTTCTTCCTTCTTGGTACCACCTTCTGGTGTGTTCCCTATAGTCTCTCTTCTGAATTCCCATAACATTTCCTCTAAACAGTCTCTCTGCCTCCAGCTTTTCTTTCAGTTCATCACTGGCTCACTGCTTACACGTGACACTGACCACATCATAACTTACACATGCTACGAGGTGAAGTTCACACTCTTAGCCAGCGTAGCATACAAGGATTTGCCCGGTCTGGCTCCTGCGGCTCTTTATAGCTCCATTTCCCCAACCATACATCACCCCAGACCACAGGCCCTGAGGAGCCTGTGCCCAGCCTCTGTTGGCTCAGTTAGTGCCACACCCATGACAGGAAGAGAGCTTCTGCCTTACCTTCCAAACCACACCCATTCAGGTTTCACCCTTCTCATGGAACATTTTAGGTTCTTTTGATCCTTATAACACTGAGGAGATATAGAAAGGATAGCATCCGCATTTTGCAGGTGAAGAAACTAAAGAGTAAGTAGCTTGCTCAAGTTTTACACAGCCAGGAAAATCAGAGCCATACTTTAAACTCCTGGGCTACTGTCCTTAAATCCAGGGCTTCTCCGAGTCTAGGGCAAATCCAACCATAGATTCCTCTGATGGAGCAACAGGTGCCCAAATCATATCTGGCAATATGTGCCAAGAATCAACCACCTCTGCATTCTAGATACACATTCTAGATACACTGACAGCAATGAGACAGCTATCAGAGTGCAAATACTTCCAGTCTGTTGGTTCCCATCAATAGCACCACGCCTCATGGATCTAGCTGGGTCCAAGATCACAACAAACAATTGGAGCTACTTCACTCTGAGACAAGGGGGATATGGAAACTTCTTGGGCCAAAGGGCTTTAGAGGATAAGGTAAGTATCTCTTAGGGGACAGAAAGCATGTGCATCCATCACACATCTGCAGTGTGATGGTAACACTGTCTCCTAGCAGAGGCAGCCCGGGAAGTAAGGCATCAGTGCCAGAAGGAAAGTGAGGAGGGGAGCACCGCCACCCTGGCCACCCCTGGCTGGAGGGAAGACGAGGTGTTGCTAACTGTCTGGGTTTCACTCAGACACATGCTGTAGTAAAAGAGATAGCAGTGCATAACTGGCTTATGAGGAAGTATGATCTGGTTCATTCTCAAAAGTTTTATATGAAATGCACTAACTGACATCCATTCAGCTTTTGGCATTTCATCTGGTTAAATGCTATGGGTTAAAATAGAACCAGAAATTAACAGCACTGGCACATGGGTGCTGTGACTTAAGCTGGTTCCCCACCCCACTCCACTCCACCTGGAATAAGTGTGCCTTCTCCCAGGCCAGGGGGCCAAAGGACAATGAGAGGAGGGGCAGCGGAAGAGAGCTTCTCACGGGAGCTGGAGACACAGAAGTGCCTTCAGCTTCAGGGAAGCCTTGAATGCCTCTGAATCGATAACTCACCGCCTCACACTGCAGGCAAGGGACCTGCGTAAGTCAACAGGGCACAGAAAGGTGGAAGGGCCACACGGGTGGGCAGCACCACCTACTGGTCCCTGTTGTGCTTTGTGGTCGTCTAAACCACGACTACATGCAGGGTCGCCAAGAAGAAAATTCTCAGGATGCTTTTTGCTCTCTTAAGGGTGGAAGAGTAGTCCCTTTAGAGGACAAGAGCCAGTGAAGAACAGGGCGAAAGCATGGGCTTTGGGACCACTAGTAAGTTGTTTCTTTTCTCTTAGTCTCAATTTCCTCATCCGGAAAGCAAGGCTGATCATCACCACCTTCTTCCCTGTAAGTCCTCCGTGTCAGTCAGCAAATGTGATGGGCCTGGTGCTGCCTACAGCATGCAATTTGTACTTAGTATTGGGCGGGGTGTCTTCCTGTGCGTACCTCACACATGAGAGAGCACATGATCTCCTCGTGGCAAAGGTAGGAACCCCCTACACACACACACACACACACACACACACACACACACACACACGATGCTCTTGAGGTGAGTGCAAAAAATCCGGGGCACCACATTTTCTCATGGGCTATGAGGTAGGCTTCTGAGCCCCGACCAACATGAATCATGATATGAGACAACCACTACTCACCGGTTCAATTTTTAGAGCATTCCGGTAGCTACCGAAGAAAGCAGCTTGGGCCTTGAGGAAGGCTCTGGCCACGCCATCACCAGTGGTTGTGGAGACTTTTTTCAGCCTGTTCTTCAGTGAAGAGATCTGGTGACAGAAAGAAAAGGGACACAGGCTGAGTGCTGATCACAGGATGATGACTACTTAACCCAGGCCCTGTGGACCCTTAGAAAACCTCTTGCGGGGGGGGGGGTGTAATTCGATGACACTGGTGTTGGAGAACAAAAAAATGCCTTTGGTATTAGAACGGATGGCTTTTTCCTTTTTTCCCCCCTTTGGAGTGGTGAGATGCTAGGCAAGTGCTCTACGATGAGATGAGCTACACCCCCAGCCCCAAAGGCAGGTTTTTGAAAGTTAGTGTATGTGCTACTGACGTGAGAGCAAAGGGTTTGAAATGTAAATGAATGTTGCTCCCATTAGACATGTCAAATAAAAACAAAACTCTTCCACAGCAGTTTCCACAGCCAGATAGGTATCCTCACATAAATTTTCTAATTCTTTTTCCAACAACCCTCTGAGGAAGAAAGCACTGGTCCCATCCCGCGATGAGAAGAATCGCTGAGAAGTTAGGCTCCTTGCCTAAGAACAAACCCAAGAAATGGCCAAACTGGAATGAGAACCAAAGTCTTATGAACCCAAACTATGCAAAGACTTTTGGTTACAATTCCATTCTCTCTTTGTTACTTATAAATGTTAGAAATGAAATGTTTCTTTATATACTACACACATCATACTATAAAGGAATAGTGACAATTTATAGAAACTCAACAGGTTAAAACAAAATAGGCAAGAAAATGATGGCAATGCAAAACGCAGCAGCTGAGATTAGAATCAGATGTAAATGTAAGCCATAAACTCTTCAATGCTGGCTAGAAATGGACTTCGCATTGGCTTTTGAGAGCCTCCTAGTGGCCAAAGCAAAAAGAAAAACATGAAGTTGTGAGATTCCTTGGGTCTATAAACAAATTGGATCTTCCAGTGAACAAGGCTTTCGTGACAGGAGTCCTAAGAGAGATTTTCCTCATGAGTCTGAAGAGGAGAGGTTGTCTGATACTCTGACTGTTGTCCTCAACACCAAGGACGAGATCCAGCTTCCCAGACTATTTCTCCTACACCCTTCATTCACCTCAGGGAGCTACAGTGCGTAACTTTCAGGGCACCCCGTTCTCACTGTGCTCTACATGCACAGTTTTCCTGGAATGGTGCAGTGTCCTGGAGCCACTTGTTCAGTCAACAGATATTTCTTATCTGTTACACACCCAAGACTATGTTAGGCGTTGAGATTTCACAATGGGGCGTGAAATCAGACATTTGTCCTCATTGGCTGGTTAGAAAAGCATCCATACAAGTGACACTGCTTCCTGAGACCATCCTGTAACAGAGAGGAAGGGAGGCTTCCTGGAGAAAAAGAGGGCTGAACTGAAAGAATGAGTTACAGCAGATAACTAGGCAATGCAGGACAGGAATAATGTGAGTATGCAGAGTAACGTGCAAAGCCCTGCAGTCAGGAGGAGCTCAGAGAACAGAAAAATGTGGCATCAGCACACACAATGAGAGGGCAGGCGATTTAAGATGAGGCTGGAGAAAAAGGCGGGCTCACAAGGAATGTACTTCATCTGTTTTAAAATTGCTGGTACAATTCAGATACACACATCAATCACAATCATCAAAGGGAGTTTGTACCGTACACGATGTGTCTCTTGGTTCCTCTTTTATTTCTATCTCCTTTCTCTCCTTTGAACCCCCTCCCCCTCCTTATTTACAAAGTTTTCTTTCCATTTTATCCTTTTCTCATTTTTTTCTTTTCTCTTCCTCCTTACCTGCCCCCTCCTCAGTTTTATTTTCCTTCTGAACAATTTCTCCCTGTTTCATAATACCTATTATACATTTTGGTTCTCATTTGCATTTTCAGTTTCTTATGCCACAGAGATAATGAGATATTTTCACATGTGTGTCTGATTTATTTCACTTAAAGTGTGTCTCAAGGTCCATCCTTTTAGTTAAAAATGTCTCAAGTTTATCCTTATATACTACTGAGTAGTACTCCATTATATTAAAAACACATTTTAAAAACCCATTCATTGGCTGATGGACATTTGGGTTGTTTCCCAGATTGCCTCAGTTTGTAATAGTTTACTTCATCTTGAAAGAAACAGAAAGCTAATGACTGTTTTTAAGCATGTAAATGACACAATGAGAACACATTTCTGGGAAACCAATTCCATAAGGGGCTTAACTAGGAACATACAATAAAATTTGGGATAAAATAAAGACATAAGAGAAAATCCGTTTTAGGTGATTTGTGACCCACCTACTAATGTGCAATACAAAGGAGAGACAGTCAGTTTTCTGAGCATAAGACGCATAGCTTTCTTTAGAGTACTAAGAGTGTCTGAGAGTCTATAAACATCAACAATCACTGGTTGGGGTGGACAATGTACACTTCAGAAATGACTCATGGAAGTTCTTTCTTTTAGAGACAAGGTGTCACTATGCAATCCAGGCTCGCCTTCAGCTTACAGTGATCCTGCTGCCTGTGGATTACAGGTGTGTGTCACCACACCCAGGAAGGAAAAGTTATTTCCTATTGCCAAGTTTCTATAAAGAAATATAAACATAGTTTTATATATTCCTCATACCATAAAATTAAAGTGTATAACCCAACAGTTTTTAGTAGAATCATAAGACCAGAAAACCATCACTACCGTCTAACTCCAGGACATTTTCATTATTCCCAAAAGAAACTCCGTACTCACCTGTGTCACTTCCCATTTCTCACCAATTCTACCCTATCTCGTCCCTGGCAACCACAGTCTACTCTGTCTCTATAGACTTAGACATTTAATATAAATGGGATCATAAAATAAGTAGTGTTTTACAACTGGATTCTTTTACTTAGCATAATATTCATTAAGAAAAATACCCACCCAAGCTGTAGCATGCTTTAATACTTTGTTCCTTTTCATGGTTGAACAATAATCCATTACATGGGCGTACCGTATCTTATTTCTTTGCTCACTTGCTGATGAACATTTCACTTTTTGGTGATTCCTAAAATTGCCACTACAACGATTCACATACGTGCTTTGGTATGGAACAGTGGCGAATTTAAGGCAAGAGCCTGAGTAGCGAAAATTCTCCATTATTGAATTTTATGTTGTGAAAACAAGCTGACAGGACCCGAGAAGCCACACAGCACAATGTAAGCATGAGAAACTCCATGGCTGCCGCCAGCTGGGTGCGCCATGAGCCAAGTGCCCAAATTACGGCAGAGCGAAGGTCAGGAGCCATGGAAGCCTCTGCGGAAGGTGAGCTGGGGGAAGGCAGTTCCTCTGAGAGCAGCTTGTGGCCTGTTTCAACAGCTGGGTATGTGTCTGGTTTGCTGTGACCTCCCTTTTGTGAGAGCCCTGAGCCTACTGCCACTGTAGAGAAAGCCCCTGAGGGGCAGATTCTGCTGTGGACCCTAAGAAACATTTTATTCAAGTGTTAAAAATAGTACTCATTCCTCACCCACCCACCCCCAATAATGAAAATCCTGCCCCTCCCAGGGACTAGAGTGACATTTCCATTCTTTGAAACGGTGCAGGCTACTGTCGCTCTTCTTCTGGCTCCTCAAAGGCCTTGGGCCACCTGTGCTGCACATTATTCCTCACTTAACCTTCCCTGGCCTTTCTCTTTCATTCAGGAGGTGTTTAATTACCTTGGATTCACAAGCTGCACTTCAGGTGAGCCTCTCCTAATGGCCTCATTACCATTTTACACAAAGAAGGAGTCGCTATTGTAACTGAGCAAATATGAGAGCATTCCTCCCCTCCTGTCCCCACTGGTCTCCAACTAGCCAAGTGGTCCTGGGCGCCTGATGCCCCTGTGACCACGTAGGCCAAGACTTCTGAAGACCTCCCTCATCTCTCAACATGGAGAAGCTTTTGTCTTGACCTGTCAGCGCTTCAAACTTTGAAACTGCAAGTCTACGTGCATCTAATAGCTGGTGATAGCATTCTTCCTTTAAATAAAAGCAAGGGAAGAAAACGTAAGGCTTAAATAACCCACTGTCTTACATCTAAAGCTGAACTTGCCCTGGGTACTCCTGGGGTGCCGGTCAAATCACTACAATTGGGGTTCATCAGGGGCAATTGGGGGGTGCTGGAAGTGTCAGCGAGAATGGCTTCATCTTTTCATCAGAAGTCAAAGGAGGAAGAGAAGAAACAAAAGAAAGAGTGCAAATTGAGCTCCTCAGCTTTTCTTTAAAGCTGCCTTCCATTCTTCTGTGTCCCTTCTTGGGGACTGCAGTACCACCCAGCCAGGCTCCTGGGCCAGATGCCGGACTGCACCCTTCAGTACTCTCCTCTCAGGGCCCCGCCCTGGGCCTGGCAAGGCTCAGCCCCATCCATCCTCTCTGCCCAGACTGGCTGTGTAGTTCTCTAGCAAGCTCTCTGTTTTCAGTTTTTCCTAATATCACCTACCTGTAGCTGTCCTAGTACCCTTGGAAAATCCCAAATTCGACAACTTCAGTCCTCCATTGAATTCTTTACTGTCTCTATCCTTCATCATGGTCACCTTCAGTAGAACAACCAGACTCCCAGAGCCTCGGCAGGCTTTCCTGGGTCAGTCTCATCCCTGTTTGCGCCTCGCAGTGTTACACATGACCAATATTAAACTGCTACCCAACTCTACCCTCTTGCCTATCAATGACTTAGGCACAGTTGTGCCTTGTTCCTTTATGTCCTCTGTGAATATCCATTCACCCTCTGAAAGACCATCCAAGAGTCTACCAATGGGGGCTCATTAATAAATTATACCACAAGCTCACGACAAAATGCTGCAAAGCTGCTAGAGGCAGTGCTCTATGAACTGATGTGAAATTCTGTCAAATGGGGGAAGATGCGAGTTGTAGAGTAATATGTGCAGCATGAATCATTTAAAAATCATATATAAATATATATATATGTAGTAAAAATCTAAAACTCCATGTATCAAATTTTAACCATGCAAGGATGCTTTTACTTTTCATTTTATACACTTGATTGTTTCGATTATCCTTTATAAAAAAGCATATGTTATTTTTATATGTTACATTTTAAAGAATT